TTCTGATGCCAGTCTGAATGCTTCCATTGCTCTTACTAATGAGCTGAACGACGAGTTTGAAGCTCTTATAGGACCGTGAGATCATCTGCAAACATAATTATTGTCGGGAAGTGTAGGCGATGGGTTCTTGAAGATTGGATAGCAAAGAACCGACAATAACTATACAGCGGCCCAGCGGGTCCCCTTGGTGCACTGACCGCGAGATTGGATAGCAGCCAGAAAGCAAGCCATTGACTTGGACGCACCCTATGGCGTCATTATACAAAATGCACACCCACTTCCTAAAATTCGGGCCCAGTCCCATCTTTTCCATGCTTGCATTGAGAAAGGCCCAGTTGACCTGGTCATAGGCCTTTTCAAAGTCGAAAAAAAGAATTGTTGTGTTTATCCTTTTTTCTTTAACTTTGTCGGCTACTTCGCTAAGGGTCAATACGTTGTCCAGGATGCATCTCCTAGGGATGAAACCTGTTTGATCTATGTGAAAGCATTTGTCTGTCAAGTCTAGGATTCGAAAGGCAAGAGCTTTCGCTAGGATCTTATAGGGAAGTGTTAGAAGCGAGATGGGTCTATAGTTTCTGATAACTTCTTTCTCCCCTTTTTTGTACAACATACAACAAAGTGACCACGCTGCTACTCAGTAGGTTTCCCAATCCCCCCTTGAGCCAGCTGTCATTGAAGAAGTTTAGCAAATCTCCTCCCAAGAGCGGCCAGAACTTCTCTCAGAATTCTTTTTGTCAATCCGTTGATTCCTGGAGACTTATTGTTGTTCATATTTTGGATCGCAAATTGTAGTTCTTCCATGGTGATGAGCTTGTCCAAGGCTTCTAATTGTTCTTGAGATATCGTTTGTTCCAGGTATTGTAACATCCTTGTTCGTGCCTCTCTAGTGCTGGGCGTAGTGGGGATAAGGGTCTTCGTTTGGTAGAGCTCTTCATAGAGTTCCTTTGCTACGTTCAACATTCCTTTGTTGTCTGTCACTGCTTCAGTTGGATTTGAGAGGATTTTCATGCCTTCTATCGCGTTGGCCCTCGAGTTTGCTTTGATTCTTGCGAAGAAGTGTTTTGACATTGACTCACTTAGCTCATATTCGTTCATTCTGGCTCTTATTTGTAGTCCTTTTAGCTCCCACCATCTCCACATAGTGAGTTCTTCTCTTGCCTTTTTAAAAATGTCGCTATAGAGTGCCGAGTAGGGGTTATCGACCAGATTTGTCTATGCGATCTTCAGGGCTGCCTCCAACGCTTGCTTCCTCTGTTTCCTATCGGCCGCTGATTTCCTTGAGATTCTAGCTACTATCTGTGATAATGTGGAGTAGATTTCTTGAAACCATTCCCATCGATCCTGTATGGGTAGGTAGGAGCCCTTCAAATTCTGCCAACAATCATAAACTCCAATCTGAAAATTTCGGCTCAGTAGGAGGGAGTTGTTGAGTTTATTTAAGTTGGACCCTTTTTTGACATATTGTTCGAAGCTGATTATTAGTTCGATGGGTTTGTGGTCCAGGGAATAGTTCTTTTTAACCAATGTGAAGGCTTTTGTCCCTGGATGCAAAGTCCGTTATGGTTCAACTAGATTGTAGTCCATCATCATCTTGTGAATGGGCACTGCCTCCTGCATAAGCTAACCAGCCGAGGGCCTAGATATAAGATCCGTGGTGGGGTCTATCGCTGCGTTCCAATCCCCGGCCAAAATACAGGGCGATAAAGGGGGAATCAGATGACCAATGTTCGTTATAAAAGTTGATATTTCTGAAGAGCTGTTTGGTGAGTAGACATTGATTACTCTGAACTCTTCGTCCTTCCACTTTACATCCATAAGACACCATCTGCCTTGTACCGTGTCCGCCTCTTTGCCCACTATCGATCCTGCTGTGTTTAGGCAGGATGATTTGGGTACCAGGATGGTTGTACCTTTCGTACTTGACGTATTGTCTCCCCCACACTTCCACTGGTTTCCTGTCCCGGGCCAAGGGCCGGATCTGATCCTACTCCCTTGTCCTCATCTTCCCACTCCTCCATATCACTCTTGGAGCAGTCACTTCTGTAATATCTATCCAAATCAATGGTGAACGCCCTTGAGTCCAGATCATTGTCTCCCTTCAAAATCTCACGAGTCAAAAGGTGTGCCACTGAGACTGCCAGCAATTCCCTTGGAATGTCGGGTCCCGCTAGCAAGCTGTATGGAATCGCTGTCACAGTTCTCCATGGCCTCCACATCATCCCAATCTTCAGCTTGGTTTCCTCTGACAATTTTGCAATCGAAGGGGAGAAGGCACGAGGGGAGTGTCTCTATAAGTCCATATGATGGTCCAGCTGGTCCTCTGGCCTGCTTGAGAGGACTTCGCCTCCTGACCATCGTCCAAAGCAACTGTTTCGTACACGCCCAGTGGGAACCCCTCTGTTACCTTTTCTTGAAGAACGTTGGCAACATTCTGTCCTTCCTCAATCCTTGGTATTGTGAAAGACACATCTGTGGCAATTTGCCATTCTCCCTCTTTCTCGACGTACCTGGCCGCAGTCAGCGGGCGAGTGTCCATCAATGCCAGTCGTGCTGATTTGGCTGAGGCCATTACATGTGGTGCCTCCCCATCTGCCATGTGCTGAATGGTAGTAAACTCAAGTGTGTACTCTGCATTCCACTTTATTAACTTTTCTGTTTGTGCCACAACCACAGCCACTTCTTTTTCCAAAAGTGAGCTTGCTGATTTCTCTTCTGCCTCTGTTTGATCTGAATTTGATTCCTTCTTCTTCTGATTTTTCCCAGTCTTCCATTTCTTTGGGCGCAGATCCTGAAAGTGGTCATTGGTGTTGAGAGCTGTTTTGTCCTTGTCCGCTAAGCCTTGTTCTCTCGCCCTCTTCTTTTCTGCATATCTGAAAGCAGTGTATTCAGAGAACTTCTCTGCCTTCTCTTTCTTTAGCGTGTCATACTGATTTTTTGACCTCTCAATGCCAGTGATTGTCCCATTCTTCCCATTTTTCTGGGATCTCTCAATGTGCTTCAAACAGGCTGCTCTGATGTCAAACGCATGTTCTCTCTCCCTCTTGGCCTTTTCAACGTATTCCCTCAGCCACTGCAGAGACCGCTGGGGCTCAGACGCTCTGTCTATGGCTGTCCCCCCGTCCCCTCACTGTCCTTGCTTGGTTTGTCGTCTGCAGCGTCGTCGAGTCAACGTATTCTCTCAGCCACTGCAGAGACCGTTGGGGCTCAGACGCACTGTCTATGGCTGTCCCCCTTGTCCCCTCACTGTCCTTGCTTGCTTTGTCGTCTGCAGCGTCGTCGAGGAAATCAGAAACCATATTTTTTCTTTCCTCTTCAGCACGGGTCTGTTCTATCTTCGTCTTGTCTGAGTTCATTGCCTTTCTCTTCTTGAGACCCCCCTCCGTCGTCCCTTGGAAGTCAACTTCATCAAGCGTTCGTTTGTTATCTGTTTGCACCTTGGCCCTTCTCTCTTGGGCCAACTGTCTCAGCATTTTTTGAAAAGTTGTCGGTTCTTTGCTGTATACCTGTTCTGCCTGTTCTCGAACTGCGTCCAGAAGAAACATGTTTCTTAACTCCCATCAATTCTTCTTCTTCTTCTTCCTCTTCTTCACAGACAGACACACAGACAGATGAACAGATGGAAGCATAAACAGACAGACCAACTGACAGACCGACGGATGGATGAACGGATGGACGGACTGAGGTCTCAGGGGATAGACACACTGACAAACAGACAGACATTGGTACATTGAGAGGCAGGCTCCCTGACTTGAGATCAGAGGGAGTCTTTCACCTTGTAATTTGTCTGTGCATGACTTCAGCGCGGAGAATTCTTTAGTGTTTGGACCCCTCCTATGCTGGTGTTAGATCTGACAGCCAAGTTACATTGCCATATTGCTGGACTGTTAGGTCAGTCCTATCTGATTTGCGTCTTCTGCTGTGTCACGTGACATCTCTTCCCATAGCTTTGGTACTATGAGAAGCCCCCAACAAATTTCCGGCCTCTCACACCCAGTGTGGGAGGTCGTCACATGCCACACATTTCAATTTGGCAGCAGGTAGGAGATAAAAATGTGACCCTACTCACCGTTCAAATCTTCATTCCGTGAAGATTTTGCCATTAAAAAATTAAAAAAAGTAATCCCAGGTGGTATGTGGGATGTCCTTGATTGAAAAACTAATTAAGGAGAGTAGATTCTGACAGGGGATGTCTCTCATCGATTGGACTTAACAAGGTGCTGGGGATAAGAAGTCGACCCAATTCACCATTCATATCTCGATTCTATGAAGGATTAACCGCAGAAAATTCAAACACAAAATTTAAGCGATGTCAGGCCAAAAGTTTTTATCAACAGCAACTTGAGCAATACTCAACTATATTGGACAGATGAGGGTTTCTGCAAATCGGGATATCAAGACATACAGGGTTAATGAAACTGTTCTGCACGAGCTCTACCAACAAAAAAAGTTGAAAAAATTTAACTTCGAAAAACTTTTTGTAATGTTACCCTCAAGTTCAGTGACCTTTGCAATAATCCATATCATCTCTCTCTCTCTCTCTCTCTCTCTCTCTCTCTCTCTCTCTCTCTCTCTCTCTCTCTCTCTCTCTCTCGCTCTCTGTGGTGTTCCACAGTTGGAGGGCTTCGATTCCTGTGCTCTCCGCCAACATATGTTTTTCTCTCTTTGGTTTTTGGGGTCCTGGTCCCCATCTGGATAATCAGGGTCCAGAGATGTCCGGTTATCATCCGGTTTTCCGGATGTCGGAATATATCCAGGCGAAACTCTGGTTTCCAAACAGATTCCTGCTGCATACAGTTTGGTGGTTACCATGATTCGGTGCACAGAGAAAAACAATCTGGTGGGAAAATCCACTAGCGCAGAATTGATCAGAATTCTTGAACAGGAGAACACCACAGCACTAGAGAGACTTTGTACTCAGGAAGCTAGGAAAAGAAGAAGCTTTTAACATTCACACCAGTTTGAAAAACAAAAAGCGTCACTCAGTACTCAGGCAGACTTACAGTTGAGAATCAGAAGGTAGTCGTAGTTGCTTAGCTCTCCCCTCTGCCAACTCCGGACAGCCTCTGGCCAATCAACGTCCTCAAGCAGGCTTTCCTCCATCGCCAGAAAATGATGTGCACTTTTTCTCCTGCCTTCAGACCCAACCTGCACCTCCTGCTCCTGCATGTCAGGAAGTGCTGTACCAGAACACCGTGGTTCATTGGTGAGTCTGCAGACCGCATCAACAAATGTTTCACGATGTTTTCCCTCCCCTCTGGCCCCCTTCTCATCTCCATCTTGTTCATTACCCTCCGCTTCCCTGGAACCATCACTCTTCATGACTTTTCTGTTGGCGATGCTACCCGGCGAGTTAAATGAGTTTTGTGCGGACTTCGCTGAGCTCGATGGGCTGAAATTGCCACCACCCTGATTGACAGTTTCTGAGTTTTTTGAGATTGGTGAGCCTGCTGCATGCAGCGAAACCATCGTTGAGCAACATGTGGCAGCATGATGGTGACCCTGCATGCCCGTCAGCCACAACCAAAGGTCCTCTAAGAGGAGCATGTTTGACGTTCTGCAGAGCATCCATGCCATTGCACACACGTGTCAAATTTCATCTCATACACAACCACAGACATTTCTTCTTCTCTTTGTCCGTCTCTCTTTTTAACGTTTCCAGAGTTTTCATACAGAAGCTCCATACACCATCACTACATTGCTTTTTTTTCTGTCCGATTGCATATCACCTACAAGCATAGAATGTTCAGAACAAGGAAAAGACCAAGAAGAGATTCAGCCTGACTCTCGCAGTCCTTTCGTCTGTTTCAGGCTTTGTCTGGTCTGGATACGTCATTTCAACAGTTCTGTTATGACCCTGGCCAATTTCGAGATACAACTCCACTGGAAAGTACAATGCCATCCAATTGCAGATAGAAATGAATGAACTTGAGAGGAGAGAGAGGATTAGAAGAAGAAGAAGAAGTAAGAAAGAAGAAGAAGAAGATGTACATTGTACACCAGCAAAGACAATGACAAGGCTCTTCTTCTTCGCCCAACAATCTCCTCCTCCTTATCTCCCCCTTCTCTTATTCATACAAGAAATAATAATACAATGTTGAATGACTGGTCCAGAATCATGTCCAAGTCCCTCTTCTACTGCAGGTATCACTCAAGGTCCACCATAGCCATGGCCGCCTCCGCTCACTCTTCACTCTCATAGGCCGAGGCTATGGCGGACTACTAGGTCTTGCCCAGACGACCAAAGGACAACCCAAAGCAGCTATGGCTGCTCTAGCTCAGGCTGCCATGCCCCAACCCTGCCTTGAAGCTTCTTGGTGTAGCTCTCCCCAGCTGGGGACCCCTTGCTGCAGCGCCCACCAAGGTGATGAAGTTGGCTGCCACCATAGCCAGGTAAGTACCCCTGGCGCTCCTCCCCCTTCCTTCCTCCTCCCTCCTTCGTCCTCCCTCATGTCCTTCTTCTTCCTCCCCAGCAGCGCTGCTCCAGCTTAGCGCTGCTCCAGCCAGCGCTCCACCAGTGTGTCACCAAACTTGCACACCGAAAAAGAGGCCAGGTCTTCCGCCCGGCTTGAAGATATAGCGGCCTGCTTTGCCTCTAGGGTGGTGACTTCCAGGCCGCTGGCCTTCCCAAGCAACCGGTACCTCCTCCTTTTTTGGAGGGAACATCATTGCAGACTCTGATATTGCCCCTACAGGCCCTAGACTCAGACTGGTACCCGCTAGACCTAGCCTACACTACCGGCCTCTAAAAATGCCACTTTTGTCTTCCTCTGCTCGGTCTCCGGTACCTGCATATTTACCCCCCCCCCCTGCCGGGTGCGGTACCGGCCTACCCGCTACTTGAGTGCTTTTTCCCCGCTGCAACCCTTCGAAGCCACGGCCACAGGTCAGTACCGGCCCTGAGGGCCCAACGAACGAACAAGTGCCCTGGCGGCCACACACACACACTCATACCAACCAGCACTCAGACAGGCACAGTCACACACACGCAAGCCAACCAGCACTCAGACAGACATGCAGTCCAGCAAGCACACACACACACAGACTTAGCAGGCGGGGAACTCAGTAGGGCATTCAGTCTATGAGCAAAACTCAGAAATCAGCTGTGTGTTTCAGTCCGTGTTTGGACGAGTTATCACAGTTCAGTTTGCCGTCTGATTCAGCGGTCTGGATATACCATTCCAGCATTTGGGCCGATTCAGGCCCAACGGCTGCATCTGAGGCCTGGCACATTTTTCCTTTGGGCTGGACCTCGTTTTTGGTCCAACCCACGTTTCGTCCGTTTCTGCGGACACCTCTGCTGGTTCAGCAGAGCAGCCTGAACGTCCAGTAGGGACCCAGGCAGGCCGATGTAAGCCAGGAATCAGGACCAAGATTTGGGCCTGCATCCTGGATCGTCGATCGGCGATACCATCTGACGGCACGGTCCAGGATGCAGACCGCAGCTGCATCCAGCGGGCCCAGCATTATATTTGGCTGGGCTGCCCACACTTTCGGCACGCAGCATTTGGGGGTTCAGACACTATGTTGCTGGAGCAACACCGCATCCGTAGATGAGCTAGGCTAGAGTTAGGAGATTAGAGGTTGATCGCGGAGGCCAAGGGCCTGGGATACCTGATCGACTTACCGGGGGGCCATTGCTGCAATTTGTCTCAAGGGCGCTCCGACCAGCGACACATCTCCAAGGGGACACCATTACGCTGGTCAGTATCTGGCTCCACTACAAATAGAGAGGGAGATCGAGAGGATTCTTCTTCTTCTTCTTCTTCTTCTCTCCTGGTATTCTCCTCGGGCTTCATTCCTTCCTCTTCTTCTTCTCCCTCCGCTGCTTCTTCTTCTTCTTCTTCTTCTTCTTCTTCTTCTTCTTCTATGAAAGAGAGATTGAGATATGAGAGTTGAGACAATGACATAAGGCAATTGCTTAGACTCGGACATTTATTCGGACAGAGACATTGGGGGTTATTGTAGGAGACTATATATTAGCAGGGCTATTTGAGTTGATGTCTCTTCTTTTTCTTCCCCTTGTCTCTTCCCCACCCATCCATGGATGTACGAGTATGAGCACAGCGACTTTTCTTCTATGTATGTGTTGCCGTGCCATTCCCCATAACTGTGATGATGGGTGTATGTAGTCAGTCCTGAGTCGTGATGAGTAGGATCCATACTTGTGGCGCACCAATGTTGTGCGGTGCGCTGAGCGCCGTGCGCCGATGTGCAATGCGTGCGCACCATGTGCACCACACACATTCCAGGGGCCAGATGACAGTGACGCGAGTGATTAGTTTGAGACGAGTAGTTGGAGTACCAGTGTTGTTGCAGGCAGTAGTGAGCAGAAAATATGTAGTTGCCCAACATATGTGAGGCCAGAACGTATGTGAACAATGGCATAAATAACTCCAGCAGCCGAATGAGTATCCATTCCTGGGTAAATAGGGCTCTGATCAAGGCCCCGTAATTACAGCTCAAATTGCTCCGCACGGGCCACATTTTCAACCAGTGTCCCACGTGATAGAGACGTGTTGCCCAGTCATGATTTGCAACTCAGTCAACTCTGTTTAGTCTCTTGCGCGTACCGGTGATGAGAGGAAGAATGAGGGTGGCTATTATACAGGGGATCGATCGGGAGGAGAAGATGTTGCTCGTGCCATGCCACTGGCAAGGAAATCCCTATTTGAATCCCTTTCCTGATTCTCACAGTGTTTCTGGCATTGCAGGTAAAGAATTGGGAATCCTGATTCTTAGAGTGTTTCAAGGAAAGAGCATGGTTCATAAAACATGAGCAACAAGAAAAGAGACACTTGACAAAAGGTAACACCATCGTCCAGGGTCTTAGGCCCATTGGCTAAGGATGGGTAGACTGTCGACGTCCCTGGCAGAAGGTACTTGCCGCAGATTTCCAAGCGACGGCTTGGCTTATACGCACTATGCCTCCACCTGTGAGTGCTCAGGGCAACTTCCCCAGACGCCGGGCACAACAGGATTCGCGATTCTGTTAGGGAGGAGGTGTCCGATCAACATAAGGAAAGTGCTATGTACAAGGTTTATGTCAAGGAGGATCTCCTGCAGGTGTGAGTGAGCAGCAGTACTCCGCACCTGAGTCGAGCATACCTTGCATGGGAGCTAACTATACTCACTGCTCAAAAGGAAAGGGCAAGAAACCACACCCTTCCAGTGACAGCCACCACAGGACCTGTGGTGTGATAAAAAGGGGAACCTGAAGGGAAACAAAAAGTTCAGTCACATAGGCAAGCCAAAAACAATGACACAAAAGTGTGCGTTTGTGTGTGCGCGTGCGTGTACGTGTGTTGTTAAAGCACCCCAGATTCTCTCTCTCTCTCTCTCTCTCTCTCTCTCTCTCTCTCTCTCTCTCTCTCTCTCTCTCTCTCTCTCATTTGCTCCACAAATCATAACAAACCATCCATAACCAAAAAGTATAGATAGACAATATAATGGAAAATGCAAGGTTGGCCACGTTTGTGTGGTTCAGCGCCAAGTGCCCACACACCCGTCTGCCGCCAAAGCGGCACACTTGCACGTATACATATATTGGAGAGCCAAAGCGGCACACTTGAATGATATGGATACATATATTTATTTGATCCATAAAAGGGTGGAGGGCAAGAAGCAACTTACCTAAGAGAGAGGACTCCACCAGCGATAAAGAATTGACCCCATCCGCCAAAGATCCGAAAAAACTTGGACAGCCCGCCACGTCGGCCCACAAAACCACAAAAGACTTGAAAAGAACATAACACAAGGCTCCACTAACAAAAAAGCATCGCCCACAGATGCCAATGGTCTAAGAAAAAAAATTGAGCCCTCTGCGATGGCCTTCAACGCCACCACAAATCAAAAATACACCACAGGACCTGTACGCAACACCAAGAGTGCCATGAACCTCCCCCTGCTGCGCAACCTGCAGAATCGGATGATGCCCTAGTGCTACAGCGAGGCCACAGGCAGTACTATGCCAAATTCCACAAGATCTCCATGCGATACCAGGAGCGCTACTGCTTAAAACACCCTAGAAGCTACCCCATTCTTCCATGTGCTCTGCAAGAGCAGCCCGTGGAGATGACACCCACAGCAACCACTCGCTGAGCCTCCTTGCCGAGATATTGTGGCCAAAACCCCAACTCCCACCCCAGAAAAAAAGTGTGGCCACCCACATACATTACTTCATCAACGTGTGTGTGTGTGTGTGTGTGTGTGTGTGTGTGTGTGTGTGTGTGTTTTGTTAAGATCCCCAAACTCTCTCTCTCAATCCATTCTCGGACCATCACAAACTATCCATAAACAAAAAAATAAAATGAGCATTATGATAGAAGGTGCAAGGTTCCCCACGTTTGTGTGGTTGAGCGGGAAGTGCCCACACACCTGTCTGCTGCCAAAGCGGCACACTTGCACAAATATATATATACTTTTTTCAATCCATAAAAATAAAGGTAAAGGGCAGAAAACAACATACCTAACACAGAAAGCTTCACCAGCAGGAACGGACCAACCAGAGG